TCATGGAGCCTTTGCTGAAAGGTGACTTAATTATTATTTATTTATTTATTTTTTGAGATAGGATTTCTCTGGCTTTCCTGGAATTCACTGTAGACCAGGCTGGGCTCAAACTCAGAGGTCTTCCTTCCTCTGCCTTCTTCCCGAGTGGTGGGATTAAAGGTGTGTGCCATCACCTGACCCCCCCCCCTTTTTTGACAAAATATTTTATTGCTGCCATCCCTGTTGGTGGACCATGGGGGCTTTGAGAGATGGAGTTGGGGGTCACTGCATCTTCTCGAACAGGGCAATGGCCTCATCCACCTCCCTGAGCTCTGCCTCTGTCTGATCAAGGGGCACCTTAGCCGAGTAGCCAGAGGCAGCACGGTGCTCCTGCAACCACTGAGCTTAGCGCTGCTGGCCCCTATTTTTAATAGTTTCTTCTTCTTCTTAAGATTTATTTATTTATTATGTATACAACATTCCTTCCATGTACACCTGCACACCAGAAGGGGGCACCAGATCTCATTACAGATGGCTGTGAGTCACCATGTGGTTGCTGGGAACTGAACTCAGGACCTCCGGAAGAGCAGTCAGTGCTCTTAACTGCTGAGCCATCTCGCCAGCCCCAATAGTTTAGTTTCTAAAGATGGGCATTTTGCCTGCCTGCATGTCTGTGCACCACTTGCATATCTGTTGCCTGAAAAGGCTAGAAAAGTCATAGGATTCCCTGGAACTGGGGTTACAGGTGGTTGTGAATCACCATGTAGATGCTAGGGAACAACTCCGGTGCTCTGGAAGAGACATCTATGCTGGCTAGGTTTTTCTTGTTTGTTTTTGGTTTTTTGAGACAGGGTTCCTCTGTGTATCCTTGAAACCTGTCCTGGAATTCTCTCTTTTAGACCAGGCTGGCCTCAAACTTGCACACCTGTTTCACAGTGATTCCTGAGCCTTAGGTGCAGGAATTGTAGATTTCTTAGTTGACGGGTACCACATGATCTCATCTTCATCAGTTGTGGTTCCTTGTAATGGTTTCCATCTTCAATGAGAGACGAGAACTATATTTATCTGTAGGTATAAGATTAAGTACTTAGGGACTGGAGAGATGGCTAAGAGGTTAAGAGCGCTGGCTGCTCTTCCAGAGGTCTGGAGTTCAATTCCCAGGACCCACATGGTGGCTCACAACCACCTACAATGAGATCTGGTACCCTCTTCTGGCCTGTAGGTATACACGCAGGCAGAATACTGTATACATAATAAATCTTTGGCCAGGCGGTGGTGGCGCCCGCCTTTAATCCCAGCACTCGGGAGGCAGAGGCAGGCGAATCCCTATGAGTTCAAGGCCAGCCTAATCTACAAGAGCTAGTTCCAGGACAGCTAAGACTGTCCTGTCTTGAAAAACAACAACAACAACAAAAAAGGGGTAAGTACTTAGTCCTAGCCCTCAGGATGCAGAGGCAGGAGGATCTCTTGAGTTCGAGGCCAACCTGGACTACAGAGTGAGTTCCAGGACAGGCTCCAAAGCTATACAGAAAAACCCTATATTGAAAAACAAAAGTCGTAGTTAGGAATTATGCTGGCTTAGTAAGGTGGTGGTTGTAGCTTCACCTCCAAGATCATGGCTTCACTAGTGGGTAGCTAGTACCAGGCATGGTTTCCCTGTTGAGAGCTGCTGACTGCTGCCAAGGTCCGCATGCCCCTAGTGCATTCTTAGTTATGATCTGGTTGTTGTGTAGCCCATGGGCATTGTAACTAGCTAGGATTTGGCTATTTTCCTCCCTTGCCTGCTGGTACTATGAAAGGTAGTCATCACAGAGCAGGCTTTCAGGTCCTCTTGGTCCTGTGCCCAAATTACATGGTATCTTTGCTTTGGGAATCCCTTGGACAACCCTGATCAACAACTCAAAAGGCAGCTTTTCATGCCTGGTGTTGGGGTTTTGGCTCTTGGGGGAGCACAGACAGCCTTGGTAGGAAATTTTATTTAAACTATATATGCCTATGCTTACATGTATTATATGCAATTTTAGATGTATAACCATTTTTTGGGATTTTACCCAATCCTTTCTCCTGTATTTATTCCCCTAATTAAAACCGTTACATTTTCCCACTTTCTCCCTTCAGCTACTTCCCACTACTGCTCCCCTCTCCTCTGAAGACGTGGAGCTGCAAGTGAAGAGAATACGTGATGTTTGTCTTTCTGGGTCTGGGTTACCTCACTAATATCCTCCTTGTTCCATTCATTTACGTAGCTAGACCCCGGTGAAAACTGAAACCATTTAGAAACTAGACCATGGCTTGCATTCTATTGTCATGTTCCTTTAGTCTCCTTTAATTTGGGCTGTTCAACTCCCCACTCTTGAAATGGCCCAGCAAGCCGCTTTCTTCCTCACTCCACACAGCTTCCTGCATAAGGTGAGTGGAGGCGCTATGCTATATGCCAAAATACCCCTCTATTTTCCCTTTACCTTCCAGCGGGATTGATAATTTTACAGCTTCCAGGACTGTGCACCTGACTTTGAGATTCTCTGGTGTGGAGAATGAGCGATGCTGCCCCAAGGGTTTCTTGTGAAACAGTTCACAAGTTGGTCTCATCACTGGATCATTAAGCTGTATAACAGGTTTTCACACATGGCCGGGCGGTGGTGGTGCACGCCTTTAATCCCAGCACTCGGGAGGCCAAGACAGAGAAACCGTCTCGAAAACCCAGAAAAAAAGTCGCGGGAGGTCCTTCCGCTCCTCCAACCAATAGCTGCTGAGATACCAGCCCATTGGGGCGTGGTCCCTCTCCCTTTAAAAAAGCGGCTCCCTGCTCCGCCGGTGACTAGACTCCCTTCCTGGTTGCGCAGAGGGCTGTTGTTTGGGACGGTGATCTGTAAGTTTTTCCCTCTTTTAATAAATACCACCCTATTAATCATAATTCCAAACTGACGTGGCATTGTGACTTACGCCTTCTAAAAAAAAAAAAAACCCCAAAACCCCAGGTTTTTTAAAAGTCTAGATTTTTCCCTTTGTAGTTAACACGGAGTGAGATATTCTCAGCATGTACATCATCACTGCTGACTCTCAGGGCAGTAAAATGTATAATTTATAGCTTTGCAGTTTGAGACAGTCTAACACTGGCTGACCTGAAACTCCCACGTGTAAACCAGGCTGGCCTTACCCCTGCCTCTACCTCTGCTGGGGTTAAAGGCATGTACTACACCTAGCTATAACTTTATTTTCTATGTGTGGTGTATTACAAGATGTATATATACATATGCACAGATGTTCATGCATGCACACACCTATGAAACTCAGAATGCTTTCTCTGTGTACTGTGGAGCCAGGCCTGGAACTCTCTGAAACCAGGCGGGCCTAGATCTCAGATTCATTTTGTTGGGATTAAAGGCCCTATGCTGCCACCACCACCCAGCATGCCACTCTATCTATTGAACCATCTCCACAGCCTCCACCTTTTACATTTAACGCAAATGGAATTCATATTGCTCTATCTGAATTGTAGTCTAAGTCAATCATACAAATATATCTCATTTGCTTAAGCTCAGCCATATGCTATACAGTCAAGGAAGAGGAGGGACTCATGGAGTTCTATTTTTTACTTATGGCTGCTCTTTGATTGTGTACATTCTTAGGTTGTGTACGCCACTGCAGAGTACCCTAGGCTCCAATGGATAGCCCCAAACCTATGGTCACATAGATGACTCTAGTTAATCTTAAGTGGGTCATGAAGTCTGGCATGTGGCAGCTCTTCCAGAGGACCCAGGTCCAATCCCCAGCATACACATGGCAGCTCACAACTGTAACTCCAGTTCCAGGGGATACAACATTCTCATACACATACATGCAGGTAAAACATCAATGCACATAAAATAAAAAAACCTTTTTATTCAAGACAGGGTTGTCCTGGAACTTGCTCTAGACTAGACTGGCCTTAAATTCGCAAAAATGTGCCTGTCTCTGGAGTGTTGGGATTAAAGGTGTGCACCACCACTGTCCAGCACCTTTTAAGAAAATATTAAGTAATCAGAATGTGCCCTGCATGCCTTTAATTCCAATTCTAGGGAAGCAGAAGAGGTGGATCTCTGTTGAGCTCAAGGCCAGACTGGTCTACAGAGTAAGTTTCAGAACAGTCGAGGCCATATTTCTATGTTCTACTGTCTTGAAAACCCAAAAAGTTGCCCCAGAATGTAGGCTATGAGACAAGAGCCAGCTATTCAACATGTTGCTACCCACCCCATACACAAAACCAAACCAAAAACAACAAACCAGAATCGATCCAGGTCCCAAACTAGGGATCTTAAAGCTCAAAGTAATAACTGACTCAAGTCCCAAGAAAAAGTGAGGAAATACTGTTAACTCAGGATGAAAAAATGCTGCAAATTATATTGCAGGAATGAGAGGAAAACAAAAACCCAACTGGCTTCTAAGGGCTGGAGAGATGTTCTTCCAGAGGCCCAGTTCTATTCCCAGCACCCTCATAGTGGCTTACAACTCTAACAGTTCCAGAGGATAATACAGTCTCTTCTAGCGTCCAAGGCAGGCACTGCATGTACAAACTGCACAGACATGCAGACATTCAAAAATTAAAAAATTTAGAAGAATAGCTTTTTGTGTGTCAAGTGGTCTAAGACGCCAGACTCAAGTTTGATAATTTTGCTTCAGTCTTGTAGGACCTATAACTCTGTACTTTTAATATAATAAGATTGGCATCTAGAGTTTTCACTGAAAAAAATGTTTATCAATTTTTTATAGTATACAGTCTTCTAAGATTGTTTTTTTAATGATCTTTTCTTTGATCAGAAATCTATCAATAATCACACTGCTATTCTTTTGCTGCATGTATTGTACTATGCATAGATATGTCTCATTCTGTTTGTAATATAAATATTCTTCTATTTGTCACTGAAAGTATGTATCTGAATTGAGAATGGTTATCTCTTGTCAACAGATGCTATCTTCTGGCTGTGATTACGCTTAATGAGTCATAAATGACTGCATAATATCAAAAAAAGAATAGCTTTCAATCAAGTTGTATTTTTTATTATCAAAGAGACAACCCCATTTTCAAATTAACTTTTATTTGAAATTACTCTTTCCCACATGTATTTTAGAATTCTATACTATACAATAACCCACAAAACCAATAACCCAATACCAAAATTTCTAACAGCAAGTTATACAATTTTTCTAGGTAATAAATAAAGGTTTTCCTTCAATGATTAAGGGAATACTTAAGTTTCTGTAAATTTAACATAAAACTCACACTTTAAGATCATAAGGTTTAACATGTAACTTCAAATATAACATGTTTTATAGGAATCTACAAGCTTTTAATTCCTAAAAGGTGACTTAATTTTTTAGGTTCAAAGTTACATTCTTCATTTTTCTCCTACAACTTCAAACTTTCTACACTCAACTAATCAACTGTTCCATGCCACTCCAGACAACTTGACTACTTAAAGTGTTATTTATCTTCCCCCAAAGAAGGTTAAAAGGCAGTTTGTCAAGACTGCAGATTTCTACTAATGGGATGTGTACTACAATATCCGTCACAGAAGTTTCCAAAAGATCATTTCTTTCTTCGTAGTAATGAGTCGATCTCCGAAAAAGCAGAAAGAACCACACAGTGTAACACTGGGCTCCTTTTTTACTTAAGATGTTGAACAACTTAAATGACAATTACACCATTAAGAGAGTAACAAAGGATGCAAAACGGAAACACAACTGGCCACAGATTAAATAACCAGGGTTTTGTTTTGAGGACTAGGAAGCATTAGAAGCTTGAAAATCCAGAATCAAAAAAAAGGAGGGAAAAAGAGTCCTTAGCCACAACCACTCCATTATCATTATCAATAGCGTCCTGAAAAAGAACAAAAATAATTATAATTAATAGTTTGCTTTGCCTAAAATATTTTTCCAACTATTAACACCGACCACATATCCAAGTATCTCAAAATAAATTACTAGTTAGAAAGATGGTTTCAATGCTACAAAAAACAGCAAATTTTACGTACTTGGGCTATAGGAACGAGATCTTGACCGTGATCTATACCGACTGTAATAAGGAGAAGGCGACCTTCTTCTGTAAGAAACGAGAAATGAATCAGCACACCACAGCAACCACATGGTGGCTCACAACCATCTGTAATAGGGTCTGGTGCCCTCTTCTGTCCTGCAGGCATACACACAGACAGACTATTGCATACATAATAAATAAATAAATAGATAAATAAATTTAAAAAAAAAAAAAAGAGCAACAAATGTAACTGAGGATTGAGCCCAGGACCTAGCACATACTGGAGAAGCACCTCCAAGTGACATTCTCAGCCCTAAAATTTCTTTACTCTTACCCATCCCACACCAAAATATGTAAAGTCACCATGTTGATGGATTTGGGCTCAAGTGATCCTCTTATATTTGTCTCTCAAGCACAAAGGAACTTGGGAGGCAGAGGCAGGCTGTGAGTTCGAGACCAGCCTGGTCTACAAGAGCTAGTTCCAGGACAGGCTCCAAAACCAGAGAAACCCTGTCTCAAAAAACCAAACCAAAACAAAAAAGCACAAAGGACTACCTTGCCACCATACTCAACTCAAACATCCAGTTTTTATTTATATGTGCCAATATCAAAGTGCTAAATAAGATTACCATCCAACACAGACTAGACATCCCAGATTAAAACATTACCTGTACCGGTAATCGTAATCTTCGTATCTGTCATAGCCTCGATCATATCCTCTATCATAGTAAGAATCTCGTCGTCTACCACCGCCGCCGCCGCCACCTCCTCCTCCTCCTCCGCCACCTCCACCACCACTACTACAGAAAAATGGAAAAAAATTATATATTATCCAGGATTATTTAATACGAGGAAACCTCCCTTGCATGGCAAATACCCTCCCATCTTATCTTACTGACTTCCACAGTGTTCTGTTCTGGCCCCTTATGCTCTAAGAGAACTCTCTGGAGATAAGGCCAAGCAATTAAGAGCATACTTGCTACTCTTCCAAGATTCGTTTCACTTCCCAACATCCACTTAGTGTGGCTACTCCTGCCTGCCATTCCAGTGGGGGAACTGAACCAGTTTTGTCCTCTAAGGGCACTGTACTCATAATACGTAAAGACAAAAACAAACTTTTAAGCCCAGTGTGATGGCACATGTCTTTAATGCTGGCACTCGGAAGGCAGAGACAGGAGGATCTGTGAGCCCAGCCTGTCTCCAAAGTGAGGTCCAAGACAGCCAACACTCTACAGAGACCCTATCTCAATCAAACAAAGAAACAAAGCATGGGAAATAGGAACAAAGTGCATCAAATTATACCTAAGAACTAAAAGAAAGGAAATTAAAAAATAGTGACTGTAAAGGCTGGAAAGAGGGGTCAGTGGGCAAATGCCTTTGCTGCTAAGCCTAACAATTTTACCCACAGAATCTGCATGGATGGCAAGAACCAACTCCTCCAAGCTATATACTTCCTCCCTAACATTAGCTTAATGTAACAAGTCCTGAACACCAAAAAAAAAAAAAAAAAAAAAAAAAAAAAAAAAAAAAAAAAAGATTCCACTAAAACTACAACAGGGTCTAATGTTTACAGCTGGAGGTGAATTTAAAACCCCTGTTCTTTGTGTATTCCAAACAAGGGACAATTTCTATCTGGTTTTCTGCAGGTCTACTATTTCCCAATCCACACTTCCCTCAATTAAACAAAATGAAAGCCTGTATCTGCCCTCTTCCTGCCACCTGCCATTTTTTGTGTGACAATAGTCCTGGCTGGCCTCAAACTCCAGAGATCTGCCTGCCTCTACTTCCTTTCTATTCCTTAAAAAACAAAACAATAATACATTTTTGTTCAATGAGAAAATCATGGTATTTTAAAACAAACAGCAGTATCAATACAATTTGTCCTACAAAGAGGCCTCCAAGAAATACTTATTTTGATCTTATAGAGACAGGGATACATGTAGCCACGGGTTGACTTCAATAGTGGCAATTCTCCTTTGCCAGCCTACTAAATGGTGGTATTACAGACAAGCCACCACACCCAGCAATACTTATTTAAACTGCCTTGGCCTAGTTGATAGGAGAGAACTTAAGGTAGGCAGAGTAGACAGAACTGAGTGCTGGGAAGAAGGACAAAGTAGAAGATGCCATGGATCCCCTGCCTGAGTTGAACACTAGTTAGAATCTTGCCGGTAAGCACAGTCACGTGGATATACACAGATTAACAGAAATGGGTTAAATTAAGATGTAAAATTAGTCAATAAAAAGTTAGAGCTAATGGGCCAGGCAGTGTTTTCCAGGCGGCCAGGACAGCAAGCAGCCCAATCCTCCTGTTACAAGCAGCATGTATTCTTTTTTTTTAAACATAATTTTGGAACTTTTTTAAATATTTATTTATTATGTGTACAATATTCTGTCTGTGTGTATGTCTGCAGGCCAGAAGAGGGCACCAGACCTCATTACGGATGGTTGTGAGCTACCATGTGGTTGCCGGGAATTGAACTCAGGACCTTTTGAAGAGCAGGCGATGCTCTTAACCACTGAGCTATCTCTCCAGCCCCAGCAGCATGTATTCTTAACTGATGAGCCAGTTACCTTTTCAGTACCCTAAACGATTATATATTGATAAAGGAAGGACACACACACACACATATACACACAAACACACACAGAAATGGAGGGGATATACTTCTACATCTTTTAAAAGATTTTTTTATTTTTATTTATCTAAAAAGATAAATAAAAGATTTTATTTATATATTTGTATATAATGTTGTATTAAATAAAAGATTTATACAACATTCTGCCTCCATGTATGCCTGGAGGCCAGAAGAGGGCGCCAGATCTCATTACAGCCAGTTTTGAGCTACCATGTGGTTGCTAGGAATTGAACTCAGGACCTCTGGAAGAGCAGTCAGTATTCTTAACCTTTGTACCATCTCTCCAGCCCATATTTCTACATTTCTGGAATGCAGTTTAATCTTAAGTATGTTGGAAGCTGAATTTGCTTTGCAGTCTGGGCCCTATACCCAAGCGCTAAACATGCTAAGCAAGTCCTCAATCCCTATAAAACACGAAATCTTACTGAGTTGGTCTGCCCATGTAAATGCCTGGTGTAGGTGTGTGAGCTCTCTTGGTTATAGAATAATCCACACGTATTCTTCTACCATCCAGCTCCATTCCATTTGCTCTTTCCATAGCCTATAAAAAAGAAAATCATTCATAATTTACTGATCTTGAAGTCATTTTTAGTTTAAGTATGAACTTTTGAAAATAGCATAGCAATTCAGCTTGCATAGCAGACTGTCAGCATTTCCAGAGCTAAGTATTGTCCAGAACATATTTAAGTTGCCCAGATAATGCCACCAAGATCTGCTTTACTTACAAAGATCTTAGATATTCAGGATAGCTCACACCAAATATATAAGATGAGCTAGCTAAGAGCTTTTTTAAAAATTAAAACTTATAATCCCCCCACCCACTTTAAGAAGAGATATTAACGTCACTCTGAATGGCTTAGAAATTACAGCTCTTCTATCTATGTCTCACAAGTGCTAGAAATACACCACCATGCCCACCCTAACCTACCTCTATTCTTGCTGTTCAGTTTGTAGCTCAGTATTTGTTGTTAAAACTCACTAAGAGCCAAGAAGTGATGATTTAAAGGGATGCAAGAGAACAATTGTAGCTGGGTAGCGGTGGCACATGCCTTTAATCTCAGCACTCGGGAGGCAGAGGCAGGCGGATCTCTGTGAGTTCGAGGCCAGCCTGGTCTACAAGAGCTAGTTCCAGGACAGGCTCCAAAGCCAGAGAAACCCTGTCTCGAACCCCCTGCCAAAGGACAATTGTACTAACTTGCACTCACTTGTTGAGAACTACACACAATTTTAAGTCAGCACTGCCCTAGCGATCTCCGTGTAAAACACAACCTGCTGGCATACATCATCCCACTCTTTGTGTAGCCCTGGCTGTCTTGGAACTCTCACTCTGCAGACCAGGTGAGCCTTACCTGCTTCTGCTTTCTGAGTGCTGCAATTAAAGGCATGTGCCACCACCAACCAGCTCCCATTCACTTTTTTTTTTAAAGCCATAATAATGTACGATAGTTTAACTATTTCAGTAAATGGAAAAATTGGCAAGTATTTAAATTGCCATTTTATGCTATAAAGAATATAGTTTAAGCCGGGCGGTGGTGGCGCATGCCTTTAATCCCAGCACTTGGGAGGCAGAGGCAGGCGGATCTCTGTGAGTTCGAGACCAGCCTGGTCTACAAGAGCTAGTTCCAGGACAGGCTCCAAAACCAGAGAAACCCTGTCTCGAAAAACAAAAAAAAAAAAAAAAAAAACCAAAAAAAAAAGGAAGAATATAGTTTAAAGAATTAAGCTAAGACAAACAAGTAAACATGAAAAAGTGTGTGGACATAAGCATTTCAGATTGTATTTCTACCTAGCTTTACTTAACTGGAGAGTCTCCTGCCCTGCCAGGTTTGGAAAAACAGGTCTGGCATCAAAATAGGTTAACTTTCTTTTATTCGTTCCCCTATTCTGCTTGTTTAGATCCATCCACCCAGCCATCATTGGTCTATGCCTGCCTCCATCCCAAGTGCTGAAATTACAGGCACTAAGCCTGGCTCATCTTAACCAAAAACAGGAATCTTTTAATCTCAACACGTGTGAGGTAGAGGCAGGCAGAGCTCTGTGAGCTTGAGGCTGAAGACAGAGCTGCAGTGAGACCCTGTCCAAAAAACAAACAAAAAAAAATCCCCACCCTCAAAAGAGGAGCTGGAGAGATGGCTCAGTGGTTAATAGTACTGGATGCTTTTCCAGAGAACCCAAATTCAATTCCCGGCATGCACATGTAAGCTCACAGGTGTCTGTAACGCCAGTTCCAGGGAATCTGGCACCTTCACACAGACATGCATACAGGCGAAACACCAATGAACATAAACACACAAATCTTAACACAGAAAAAGCAGGAATAAGCAAGCCACTAAACCACACCATTAAAAAAGTTGTGATAACTGAGAAATTAAGACATTGGTATGCCTATGGGATAAATAATTTACAAACTAAGAATCATATAGTTTCTTAACTTCAGCATCATTAAGACTTGGGCTCTGGGGTCATCTAATCTATGAGAACCCTTACACACTGTGGTTTTTAACATTAATTCTGATAGCTCACTTTACGAGGTCAGATTTCAATTAGCATGTAATTATACAAGAAAGCATGAGCTGAAAAGCAAAACTGGCCTTTTAATTGTAACACTGAACTGAGTTCCAATCAGGTCTGACAGTCAGGAGACATGTTCATGGAAATGTTGTTAACAGACTGTTAGTAGTAACGCTGCATCATTATTATGCATACCAAAATTCTTTCAAATGAAAATTATAAAACAAGATTTACCTCTTTAGAGTCATCTATCCTCTCAAAATACACAAAAGCAAATCCACGTGACCTGCCAGTTCGCTGATCATAAACTACATTGACACCACTCAACGGTCCATATCGAGAAAATACTTCACGAAGATCTCTTTCTGTTGTGTACAAACTGAGGCCAAACACTCCCAGGCAAGTATTGGGATCTGGATTTGCCTGTTGAATAAAGGCAGAAATAAGTTTTCATTAAAACTTCAATATAAAAAAGATCAAAACCTTCTTTGGAATAGGCTTTATAATTACAGTCTGTACAAAACTGTCCCCTCTCTCTAGTCTAGCTCAGTCATTTTCAGAGTGTACCTAAAGAATTCACCTTTCAGCCGGGCGATGGTGGCGCACGCCTTTAATCCCAGCACTTGGGGGGCTGGAGAGATGGCTTAGCGGTTAAGAGCATTGCCTGCTCTTCCAAAGGTCCTGAGTTCAGTTCCCAGCAACCACATGGTGGCTCACAACCATCTGTAATGAGGTCTGGTGCCCTCTTCTGGGCTTCAGAATATTGCATGCATACACACACACACACACACACACACACACACACACAATAAATAAATAAACAAAAATAAATAAAATCCCAGCACTTGGGAGGCAGGCGGATTTCTGTGAGTTCGAGACCAGCCTGGTCTACAAAGCTAGTTCCAGGGCAGGCTCCAAAGCCACAGAGAAACCCTGTCTCGAAAAACAAAAAAAACAAACAAACAAAAAAAAAAGAATTCACCTTTCGCATGCCTAGTCATCACTACTTAATCTGACTCATTTCTACTTTTTCAGTAACCCCAGTGCTGGGATTATCCATGCACTACACACCAATTTTTTTTGTTGTTGTTTTGTTTTCACAGGGTTTCTCTGTGGCTTTTTTGGACTGGGACTCAGGATCTGCCTACCTTTGCTTCCCAAGTATCACCACATGTAACTAAAATATGTATTCTTCCTAGAGGACCACTTCTTTCATAAAAGGTATTACGCCATGGCTACACACTGGAGAAAGAGAACACCAAGTTTCCATTAACTCTTATATACATACCCTGCTGCCTGTATGTCTTCTGCGATTAGACATTGGAGAATGACTCCGGCTTCTTCGTCGACGATACTCTGGCGTATAGGATCTACTTCGAGATCGTCTCCTATGAGAGTGGGACCTGGACCGACTATAGCGTCTATGAGAATGTCTCCTTGACCTTGACCTTTGAAAGAAATAAACTCAGGTAAAATACTGAATCACAGGGCTGGAGAGTAGCTCAGCAGTTAAGAGAACCCAGGTTTAGTTTACAGAGGATCATTAACCACCTGGAACTCCAGTTCCAGGGATGACTCACTCTTCGGGTCCCTGAGGGAACTACATGCATGTGGTACACTTAATACAGAGATATAAAATATCTAATAAAAAAACTTTTAATTTTTGTTGCGCTGCTTTTTGTATCAACCCCTTATTTGACCTCAGAAAGGGTGTTCTGTTTGTTTAAAAAAAGATGAGGGGGTTGAGAGATGGTTTGGTTGTTGAGAATATAGACTGCACTTGCAGTGGACCTGACTTTGGTTTCCAACACAACTTTCTGTAAGGGATCTGATATCCTCTTTTGGACTCCGTGGGCACCTGCTTGTGCGTGCATGCGCGCACACGCCCATGTTATTTACGTGTATGTATACATGTCTGTGGATGCCTGCCATTAAGTGGACTGTAGATCCCCTGAAGGTATGTTACAGGTGGTTGTTTGTAAGCTGTTAACCATATACGAAGAACCAAGAATCAAATGTGGGTCCTGTGGATGAACAGCAAACATTCTTAGCCACTGACTAAGCCATCTTCCAAGCCCTTATTATTTCAGATTTCTATTTAAGCTCATCCCTTCACTCTCATTTCATCTTCCAGTAAAAAAAAAAAAAGTTAAAGCATACTTAAAGGAAAGACATACTAACAGTAATCCCAGTGCTCAGGAGACAGAAACAGGAGTATCTCTAGAGCTAGTCAGATCTTATTTCTTTCCTTTTTTAAAAAATTAATTATGGGCCGGGTGGTGGCGGTGCACGCCTTTAATCCCAGCACTTGGGAGGCAGAGGCAGGCAGATCGCTGTGAGTTCGAGACCAGCCTGGTCTACAAGAGCTAGTTCCAGGACAGGCTCCAAAACCACAGAGAAACCCTGTCTTGAAAAAAAAAAAAAATAATGATGTATACAATCTTCTGTCTGCATGTATGCCTACAGGCCAGAAGAGGGTACCAGACCTCATAACAGATGGCTGTAAGCCATCATGTGGTTGCTGGGAATTGAACTCATGACCTCTGGAAGAGCAGTTAGCGCTCTTAACCACTGAACCACCTCTCCAGCCCCCAGATCTTATTTCAAAAAAGAAAATAAAGAAAGAAAAAGAAAAGCAGCAACAACAGGGCATGGTGTGCACGCCTTTACTAACCAAGAGGGACAACAATCTCAGTGTTCCAGGCCAGCTAGCTAGACAGTGAGATCGTGTCTAAATTGAAAAAAGAAAGGAAGGAAGTGATAGAGATGCACTTAGAGAATAGCAAAATGATAAAGGAACTAGTAAAGAACAAAGAGTATTGAGGTAACCTGGTATTAAGTTCTTGAGTAAACAGACTAAGAGAGGAATGAAATAAATCTAATGGCATACTACCAGAGAAAAATCATTTGAGTGGGAAGAATACTAATGAAGATATTCCTATTCTCACTTAATACTAATTTTAGTGCAATCCACCACCACCAATAAAAAGAATCAGTTTTTTTGGCTTGGGCAGATAGCTTATGGGTGATCACCATAAGGCAGAGAACTATGAGTACAGATCTTCAGAAGTCCTGTAAATGTAGGCCAGGTGTAGCTACTGGCCTGTAACTCCAGTTTTGGAAGGTAGAGAGACTAGGGACTCTCAAAACAAGATCTCTGCCTATAGAACAGGCACACTGGCAAGCTCTGGACTGACCGAAAGATTCTGCTTCAGACAGTAAAGTGGACTAAAGATGTGCGTATCTAGTATTTTTGTTTTAAACTGTGTATGTACAATGTACTTGTGTGAGCACATGGGTAGGTCAGAGGACAACTGCAGCAGTCTGTTCCACCATTTGGCTTCCAAGGATTAAACTCAGAGAATTAAGTGTGGCAACAGGTGCCTTTACTCAATGGGTAGTAACTAACAGATGTGCCAAGGAATGATTCTACATTCTGCAGTCTGAGCCATCGGTGAACTTTCTGTACAAAATGCAGCTAAAAGGAGACCTAGCACAAGTCCCTAGTTGTGAAGAAAGCAGTTTACACATTCTAAACTTACCTGGATTTTGATCTTGATCGAGAATGGGATTCAGAATGTTTGGAAACCCGTGATGGACTACGAGATCCTGACCTGCTCTCTGATTTTACGCGAGCAGGAGTTCCCGTTGGAGATTTTGACTGAGAGCGAGACTCCTAACAAAGAAGACAGTATTACAAATGGCACTGGTCACGTAGATGCCTACCACCTAACATTTAAAGTACCATAATTATTTATATTGATTGCTCCTGAAAAACAAATGGTTAGGCAACACCCTCCAGAAAAAAATTTCAGCTCATTAATATCCCATTGTTAATACTGCTAACTGTCCTCAATAATTCCCTACTTGAACCAGATCACCAATTTTCTATTAACTAAGTAATCATGCAAATTCATCTACAACTTGATCATACAGACACTGGAACATAAACCATACATTTACTTAACCTAGGACCCATTCATTCTTCCAGATTCTTTTAATTCTACTTCACTCTTGCTTTCTACTTCTCTTCATTCTTCATTGAGTTTTTCATTTTTCATACTTCGTGTATTCTTCCCCAAACAATTCAAAATAGCCTTAAAAAAATATTCAAGTGCTTCTATCTGACCAATCTTCTGTTCAATTTTTTTCCCCCATTCAATTTTAATTTTCTGATCTTTAATACTTTTCATTAGCCTTCTTTTATCTTGATTTATCTTCCACATTCTTGGAAAAAACTCTTCAATTTCTTCACGAACATTAACCTTAATGGAAAAAGAACATTTAGTATATTTAAGCACGTGGGGATTATAAAACTCTGCTGGAGTTTAGAATGTTATCTACCATATGGAAAGGCCAGCAGGAAAGTGCAAATAACTAGTTTATTTAAAAATAAATTAAAAAAACCAATTTTTTTATAGTATTTAAAAATGTTCAAATGTGTAGTCTAACATAATTTACTGAATTTCTCTAAGTTTTAACCATACTCTTTACCCTCCTCCCAAGTCCATTCTAGTTCCTAATTTTAATATAAATGTAATTCAAACATAAACTACAATTCCCCCCCACCTAAATATTCATTTTCCACTTTTACAGGCTGAAGGATCTTACTGATCTTAGAATTAACTTTCAATAAACCACACTAAGAAATTCAGGTACAGCCGAAGCAAAACATCCCAGGCCAAAGTGGCCATACACACCACCTGAACTCACATGATAGCACACATGCCAGAGATAAAAACCATAACAAATTTGTAAAATTATACCTCCCAGTTTTGACTACCATTTTCACCCATTCATATTAACCAGAAAGACGTGTTCTGAAGACAAGCATTAAAAAAAAACTAAAGGAAAAGAGCACAAAGTTTCTAACAATTTCACTTTGGCTTGTAAATTCCTGAAATGTATGCTGTTGTTTCAGGAGACACAAATTTGCATTTTTATAACTCAGGATGGACTATGGTTCACAGAAATCCTTGACTCTTGTACCACTTAAATACCATAAAGCACAAACAAAATATGCTTGTCCTTGCTTGATTCCACTGCTTTCTGCATTTATGCACATCTGCACTCCTTGCAGGGGCATCTGTGTATACTGCTGATGAGAAAGACATCTCCTTCATGCCAACTGGTTTCTGAAGTTAGTTCTACATAAAAACTTACCAAATATTTTATAACTGATTAAAAAGCACAGTAACTTACTTGATTGATGTTGAGACCCATACAATCAAAACAGAAACCAAAATTTGGTTTTTCCATCCACTTAAGACTCAGTTATGAATGCAAAGAATTAGTCCACTCTTACAAAAACACATATTCATATCAATTTTCATTTATACAGTAAGATATCCCACATCAAACATGGTTCTAGGTAGTGCTGAGGACTAAAAAGGGCCTGGTGGTAGGTAAGCACTTCAACTGGACTACATCCTTGGACCCTTTCCTTGAAGTTTAATTCAATGACAACCTTTCCAGTGTTTTTTTTTTTTTCCTTCTTCCTTCCCTTTCCCCTGAAACAGGGTTTCTCTGTACAGCCCTGGCTGTCCTGGAACTTGCTCTGTAGATCTGACCTTGAACCCACAGAAATCTTCCTGCCCCTGTCTCCTGAATGCTAGGCTTCATTCAAGGTCTGTATCACCAGGACCCCACCAACCTTTCCAGTGTTTAGTCTTTCATATCTAGACAGCTGCCTGGATCAAAATACTTAGTGCTTAAAAAATTTATTAAATTTGCTTGTAATTGAAATCGCAAAGGGCTGGTTCAAAATTCGAATCAAGAGAATGTCTTCCTTTTAGTTTTCCTCCCTCTAAAACAGACCCACTAGAATGGCATACAAGTATGCTGCTGTGGAAGTACCGTGGTGGCAGCAGTGTTTACACATGCACCACAGCCTCTTTACACAGAAGTAGCAGGTTTTGCTGAGATACTATAAACCTTTAGCTTTACTATGAATTTAAAAAAATCCTATATAAGCCAAAAATTAATGTCCAAGCCTCTCCTCATAAACATTGTTTTCAAAATATGACTTCTTTTAAGCAACTTGTTAAGAGTCCATTCGGAAGTTGGGTTATGAAATGTGGCAGCAACTCTTACCCACTGAACCAACTTGCTGGCTCCAAAAATTACTTCTGGAGACTCTAATAATTCAATTTATTTATATCGACACATATATAATATAGTAATAGTATATAATACACAATATGCTATATATGTGAATGCAAAAAATAATAAAATAAATCCCAGATTTAGAGCCACAACAAAATATCAGTTTGCCAGAGTATCTTTTAAAAGACATTTTAAACAACATTCTAGAGTAGTCCCCTTAACTGTCTGCTAACACCTATCATAAATGTTACAGACTTATACTATGAACAATCAAATGTTACAGAATATGGCCATACTAATGCTTATTGTTTAAAAAATGTCTTATTTCTCAAACACTAACTAGATAAATGCCACTTTCACTAAAGACTGTATTAGAAACCAGGTTCCAGTAGTCACTTATGGAAGGCAGATATTAAAAAAAAAAAAAAAAAAACTCTGTCCCATCTTTTTAAATGAAACAATTTCAACTTTTCAGTGAACTTTTACCTTTTCTCTTGTTTTTTTTCGAGACAGGGTTTCTGTGTAGTCCTGGCTGTCCTAGAACTCACTCTGTAGACAAGATTGGCCTCCTACTCAGAGATCTGTCTGCCTATGCCTCTCAAGTGCTGTGATTAAAGATCACCATTACTGGAACTTAACTTTTTCCCCTTTGTTTTTGAATTGAGATTTCATCATGTTGCCCAGGCTGACTTCAAACTTGTGGTATCAAATGAGCCTCTCCTCTCCATTCTAAGAAACTGGAACATCATGTGTGACCACATCTAGCTAATCTTAAATTTCAAAAGAGAAATTCATAACCTTATTTAGAATTTGGAAACATAAATTGCAAGGGAGAAAAAAAATGCAGGTAAGGCGGTTCTCTGTCTTGTCTCAATAGACTAAGCATTTCTAAAAGCTGTCTTATTGAAGAGATAAAGGTTTCTTCCATCTACCTTAGACACTACAAACCACAAAGAAGCCAGGCAGAAAGCTTTCAAAGCACAACTCACCCAAACAGGTTCTAGAGTTTGCTATATGGACAAACTGTTACAGAACATAAGAAAGCAATAGGAAACTCAGTATTGCAGATGCAAAATATAAAACCTAAATACTTAATATTCAGTAAATATGACTAAACTTATATAAACATTATAATAACCCTTTTAAATACTAGGTCCAGGCAACCCCACCAGATTATAGGGACAAACTTAAATATATTCAAGTCTGTACATCATGTGAACAAACTTCCAGTTTTTTCTCTAGTCCTTTAAAGTAGGAATTTACATAGAAATAAACCAGTGGATTTAAAACAAATGCCCCAAGAAGAAAATGCACTTTGGTTGTCCAAATATTATACTCTACTTATCAGGCTACAGTAGGGACACTTATGCTTTCTTTCTCTGGGATACAATAGGGTAGTTCTTTAACAGAAATTAGGATGTGAAGCCATCTCTTAACATTCTGTTTGTCTGATACACCATGAAGTCAACGTGGTCTCTAATTACAAAGGCTCATGGACAACTCACATGACATATGTTTGTATTCTCTAAACGTTTGGTATAATTAAAAAAACTTTATCATAAATGGCTTAGTGTCTAGCAATCATAATCAAACTTTAAACTCATGCCACAGATATCAGGTTATCTGCAATACTTACAATCTTTTGGTAAGAATTTTTAAGATTGCCCATAACTCTGACCGCTTATGTGTTTTAATAAAATGTCACGTTCAAAAGCTGGTATAAAAAATGACTGCAAAGGGCTGGGATGTAGCACAGTTGTTTAAGAGCTCTCCTAACAGGCACAAAGCTGAGCTGATGCCCCATACTTGGGTGTGGAAGGTAACAGGAGCTTAACTCTTAGCAGTGGTGATCCATGTTCAAGGTCACTGGCTCCTCTCAAGTTTATTGGACTAAATTGGCTTGGGTATGTTAAAGCCAAAGTAAAAACCAATCACCAAATTCTCCATTCATAGTTTCATCTTCATCTCTTTCATGAAGGTATTAATCACACGACAGGGTCTTGATTTCAAGGGGGAAAAGTAAATTTTCTTCTATCAGGCCTACCTACTCATACCTCTGATGAATACCACAACAAAGACCACAGACAAGTATATGTACAGCTCACATTTTCTTTTACTGCTGGCCTTCTACATTTCCTAGTATTCAACAATCAATCTCTTCCTCAATGTGACTGTTATATTTTCACCTTTACCTCTGTCCTATTAAACCTGCTAAGATTTATGAAATAACAGAATCAATTCACTTAGCACAGAAATATATACCTTTTACAAAGATCATGATGCCTGAGCATCTACTATTATTTTCTAGTCAGCTGGGCTCAAGGAAACTATTATGCTGATTAGTCAAGCAATTTTTCCCTTGCTAAACTTGTTACCAAGTTATAAGACAATTAGCTTTAAAAAAAAAAAGACTCATCTATAATATTTGCTCTGTTAGTCTCTCAGATCTCAAGGCTGGGTGGGGGCAGAAAGCTGCAGCAAATTCTCACCACTTCCCAAGTACCACCATGTGTGTCACTTCATGGTTTTTTAATTCCCATTTTAGGGGTAGTACAGAGTGCAAACGCTTTACCATCTATAAAATTATAGCAATGCATTGTAAATGAATTACAGGCACTGCTTCTTTTCAAAAGTCTGCCTTTTACAAGAAAGTAGGGATAGGGTGGAGAAAAAACAGTGGAACATACAACTAACTGGTTTAATGATAGCATTTAAACACACTGGTTTTAAAATAAATCCAACACCAAATTCAGGGTTAGTACTATTCCCACAAAGTAACAGCTTTATCTTTCCTACTTGGTTTTCTGGTAGTTCGGGCTATCTGCAACTCACTATGCCCTGTATCTACAGCAATTCCCCTTCAGTGCAAATTACAGGTCTGAGCTACCAGATTTGGTTAGCCATTATCTCCCTCTCCACCCTGATCCCATTCCATACAGTCCAACTCCTGATCCTCCCATCCCTTTTCAAGAGGGATTGATTATAGGCAGGTTCCACAATACCTGGTTGCTTTAACCCATGGTTTTTCAAGACAGGGTTTCTCTGTGTATCTCTGGCTGCCCTGGAACTCACTCTGTAGACCAGGTTGGCCTCGAACTCAGAAATATGCCTGCCTCTGTCTCCTGAGTGCTGGGATTAAGGTGTGTGCCACCACTGCCCGGCTTTACCCATTTTTTCTAAAATCATGTATGGACTGGGAGTGGTGGTTTGTGTGCATTGGCAGGCATGTAGAAGTCTGTTCTTTCTCCACCATGTACACTGGAAGGACTGAAATCAGGCTGTCGGGTTTGGTGGCACTTGCCTTTAACCACTGAACAGTAGAGGCTTAAAAAGGCTGATTTCATTCTTTCATTCATGGTATCTCTGTGTTGCTCTGGCTATCCTGAATTTCACTATGTGGACCAGGCTTGCCTCTGCCACCAGAGTGCTGGGATTAAAGGTATGCACCACCACACCCAGCTTTAAAAAAAGATTTTATGTGCACACGTCTGTATTAGCGTCTGCAGAGGCCAGAAGAGGGCATTGGGATTTCTTGGAGCTGGAGTTACAGACAATTGTGAGCTACCTGATGTGGTTGCTGGGAGAGACCAACTCAGGTCCTCTGGAAGACACTATGAAAACTCAACCTTCTCTTACTTCCACTCTACCTGCCCCCTTAAGCAAATTAAACTAAGTAAATGATTAAAATTAAGTTGGAGAAGCTTAATTTAGTCTAAGAGGTATGACAAATCATCAACCACTTGTAATGAGAACTGGTGCCCTCCTAGCCTGCACGCATACATGCAGATAGAACACTGTATATATAATAATATAATCTAAAAAAAAAATCTGCGTTGCATATGTTGATGTGCACCACTTGCACCCAGGTGCTAGAGGCTAGAAGAGAGCACTGGATCATTTGGAAACTCAAAGATGTTGTGGGTACTTGATGCCAGTGCTAAGAACAAACCTGGATCCTCTTCATGATCAGCAAGTGCTCTTAACAACTGTGCCACCTCTCCAGTCCTCATAAAGATCTTAAATCAAGCTGGGAGGTGGCACATTCCTTTAATCGTGGTACTGGGAAGGCAAGGGGATCTCTTTGAGTTCAAGGCCAGTCTGGTCTAATTCCAGCCAGGATAAACGCCAAAGCTAGAGAAACTTTAAGTCTTGAAAAACCCCAAAACAAACAAAAAAAAACCCACCACCACAACTTAAGTCCCAAATGAAAACTTTTAACTTCCTTTTTTTAAAAAGATCTTTTATTATTCTGTCTACACGTATGCCTACAGGCCAGAAGAAGGCACCAGATCTCTTTACAGATGGTTGTGAGCCACCATGTGGTTGCTGGGAATTGAACTCAGGACCTTTGGAAGAGCAGACAATGCTCTGAACCACTGAGCCATCTCTCCAGCCCCTTCTCCTGTCTTTCTTGAAAAGGATTTCTAGTCTTAAATAATTCAAGCTGTGTTCTGTTGCTCTTGTATCAGTTGTTTTGGTCTTATATTTCCTTTCAGTATTCTCACTACCACCAGATTCTAGAATTCAACCATCTGACTCGCGTATTTTTTAATTAAAAGATTAATTTATTTATTATGTATACAGTGTTCTGACTGTATATATGTTGGCAAGCACAGATGGTTGTGTGTCACCATGTAGTTGCTGAGAATTGAACTCAGGACCTTTGGAATAGTAATAAGTACCATCACCTCTCCAGCCCCCTGACTGCACATTTAATCAAACTTGTCTGACACTTATTTCAGCACTTAACCTCATATACTTGATAACAGTTTTAGACCCAGATATGGATTGTCAAACTAGGACTACAAATCCTTGTTAGATTAATAACCTGAAATATGGGCTGGAGAGATGCTGTGGCAATTAAGAGAACTGGCTGCTCTTCTAGGACCCCGGTTCAATTCCCAGCACCCACTTGGTAACCTGACATCACCTATAACCCTAGCCTCAGAGGATGTAACTTCCTCTTTTGGCTTCCTCAGGCACTGCAGCAAGCAAAACACCCACACACATACAATAAAATTAAAGGAGGGGGAGAAAAGAGATTATGGATATACAACGAGCAGTTAACTGGGGCTTATATGGTCTTCTGGGTCTTGGTTCTTTTTCTTTTGGTATTTCTCTGTGTAACCAACCCCAGCTGTCCTTGGTAGCTAGGTTGGCCTCAAATTCACCCAGATCTACCTACCTCTGCCTCCCGAGTACTGGAGGAGTTAAAGGTGTGCCCAGCATGGTTTGGGGTGGTTCATTTCTAAAATGCTGACAGCACTCTAGCCATTGCTAGATTATCAGGAAAAATAAGTTTATAAAAGTATCACAAAATAACTTTGGGGTCTGAATTCTAAATACTGTAAATGTAGATATATTTATATGCAAATATTTTGCCTTCAGTGTTTGGTAGACCTTAAAAAGTCTCCACTTAGCCAGGAGGTGGTGGCACATACCTTTAATCCCAGCACTTGGGAGGCAGAGGCAGGTGGTCTCTGTCAAGGCCAGCCTGGGTTACAAGAGCTAGTTCCAGGACAGGTTCAAAAGGTTTGAAAAACAAAACAAAAAAAGGTTTCCACCCAATTTTAAATACTTTTCCAGAGATGGAACTATCATGTTCCCTGTGACATCCTGAAGATAACACACTCTTCTCAGAATTTCCTATAGAAACTAAAGCAAATATATTATCTAAAAATCTTTTAGGGCTGTTACCCTCAAAAGCAATGAGAAGGGGTGACACCACTGCTGTGTCACATGAAATTTCATCACTGCTGATTTATGGCCAGCAGAAAACAAAAACTACCATATTAAATACCAAGTTGTTATAAGAAAAAGGAGTACCAGAGCACTTGCCTGGCACCTACAAGCCCTGGGTTCCACTCCAGTAAACCAAAGGACAACAACAAATCCAGGCGAACCTTCAGAAAAGCCTCTAGTCTTCTGATTCTTTTTTTTTTTTTAAAGAATTCATAATTGGCCGGGCGGTGGTGGTGCACGCCTTTAATCCCAGCACTAGGGAGGCAGAGGCAGGCGGATCTCTGTGAGTGGTCTTCTAGACCAGCCTGGTCTAGAAGAGCTAGTTCCAGGACAGGAACCAAAAAAGCTACAAAGAAACCCTGTCTCGGAAAAAAAAAAATTATAATTGGTGTTTTGCTTGCATGTATATCTGTGTGAGGGTGTTAGATCATGGAGTTACAAACAGCTGTGAGCTGCCACGTGGGTGCTGCGAATTGAACCCAGGTCCTCTGGAAGCGCAGTCAAAGGCCCTAACAACTGAGCCATCTCTCCAGCCCCGAGTCTTCCAATTCTTTATATAGTGCGTCAACCTAAATGAGCCACAAGTACCATTTTAAAAATGTCTCTACAAACGGCAGAAGAGGGGGAGCTTGAAAACCCCCCCCTTTTTTTTGTTAACTTGGCTGTAAAGGCCTAAATAAATTTTAACTGAAAACTGGATTCGGGAATATTAAGTATTTTGGGGTGGGTAAGGCGGTAACTGTTTACTACTCCTTCCACTAGACAACAAATCAGAAAAGAATCAGAGCAATTAGTAGCCTTTTCTAGAAGGAACAAATTCTTTCCTGCCAACAAACCCCTCCAGTGTTTTGTTTTTTTTCCCCTTCACCCGCCCCACTAGAATAAATACCAATCCAACAGCCGGAACACTCATAGCCTGGGACTTTTGTTCCCTTTTTTTTCTTCTTACAGGGTTTCACCAGGACTCACTTTCATCGGTTTCTACTAGGGCAACTTTGGAAAGAAAGCTCAAAAGCCGGTAATAGACGTTCTAATACCCTCAAGCTGAGGATAACGTAGTCTTTGCGCTGCTTTACAGTCACGGGACCCAAGAAAACCTCGAATCCCTTCCTGGGAGATGGGGGAGGGCCTGAAAACTTGGGTAATAGCAATGATGAGCTATTTTCCCCCTTTCAAAACTGAGTCACGAAATTTGTTCAATTACGTAAGGCTAAAGTAAGATGCCTTGACAAGTTTAATCATAAGAACCTGTAAAGGAGTTTTCAGAAGGCCAAGGAAAGAAAGCATTAGGAGTTGAGACCCAAGGAAGCCAACATGGAGCAGTCAGGCGGCCAGGCGTTACGGCGTTGCCACACTCATCCCGAGGTGAAAGGAAAGAGGACATTAGGGGACAAGGTCCTGGCGTAGTTTTCCCTTCACAGCTCTCGTCTTAAGAACTCCTAAGGGTCGCTGCGGTCGTTGGCTAACCACTCCACTGGGCTCGTCCCACCTCCAACCTCAAGGCTCTCGCCTTAGAGACGCCACGCCGCCGGTTCCGCCGGAGACGCGGCCGCTCGCTGCAACAGAGAGCCAAGGAGACACAGGCCCCAGCTAGTCCCGCGCCAGCAGCGCCACCCCGCCCGGACAACAGCCCCGCGCGCTTCCGACCCCGAGCCCCCGCTGCGATGGCCGGGGTGGCCCGAGACGCCACCGCGGGAAGCACCTACCACTATCCGGCCGGAGGGAGCGCCCCGCCGCCTCCTGCCCCACCGCGCCGGGGACCCGCACCTCGGAGCAGAGATGGGAAGCTGAGAGGAAAGGGAGCGACAGGAGAGGATAGGACCAGGCCAGGTACCATCAGCCGCCAGAATCGAGCGCTGCGGGCTAGCGGGGCGTCTGGGCAGCCACGGGGGACCCCGAAGCCATCTTGGGACGTGAGGACGCGCTCGCGGTGGCCCTGCGGGCTGCTCCCGCGGGCCCCGGAACCTCGCCCGACCGACCGCGCTCGTCCCCGAGCCCCGGAGCATCGGGCCGCCGCCGAAGACGGCTCCCGCGGCTTTGTACTCACTCTGCCCTCGAAGTTGTTCTCCTCTACATCACTCATGTCGGCCAGGAGCTCCCGAGAACTAGACAAGAGACAAGTCTCGGCTCGACGGCCGACGGTCTAGTGACCCGCTGTCTGGACTGTGGGGAGGAGGAAGGCGACGGCAACAAGGGCCGGGGCGCTCCACTCCCACTAGCTCGCAGGCACGGGCAAAATGGCGCCGGCACCGCCACAAACCTCCTGGTGTCCCCGGCGTCTGACGTCAGGGGGCGGGGCGGGCGTCACCAGCTCCGCCCCCCACCCCGGGAGGCTTTGTGTCCACCTGTCCTAGCGCGGGAGATTGGCGGGCTTCGGGAGCCTGGTTCCTTGGAGTCTGGTTTGTTTGTACCCCTCGTGCTGGAATTAAGGCGTGCGTGAATATTTGCTGTTTTTAACGTTAAAATAGCTGTACGTGCACAGTTGGGGATATACGGAAATGCTAGGAGTTCCTTGGTCTTTCCTGATTCCAATCTCCCTCCTAGACTTTCTTTCTTTCTTTCTTTCTTTCTTTCTTTCTTTCTTTCTTTCTTCCTTCCTTCCTTCCTTCCTTCCTTCCTTCCTTCCTTCCTTCCTTCCTTTCTCTTTCTTTCTTTCTTTCTTTCTTTCTTTCTTATGTATTATTTGTTTGTTTATTGGTTTTTCAAGACAGGGTTTCTCTCTGTAACCTCTCTCTGTAACCGTCCTGTCTGCATGTATGCCTGCAGGCCAGAAGAAGGCACCAGATCTCATTACAGATGGTTTTGAGCCACCATGTAGTTGCTGGGAATTGAACTCAGAACCTTTGAAAGAGCAGCCAGTTATCTTAACTGCTGAGCCATCTCTCCAGCCCTTTGTTTGTTTGTTTTTTGAGACAGGGTTTATTGTTTGTGTAGCCTTGGATGTGCTGGCACTCACTCCTTAGACCAGGCTGAACTCACAGATAATATGCCTGCTTCGTCTCCAGAGTGCTCGGATTAAAGGCGCAAGCTATCACCTCCTGGCCAGATTTAAAACAAAAGTTATATTTGACTAGATATTGACCTGAGTGAGAGAATATGATCTTAACAAGTGTGAGGCCCCGGGCTTGATCCCTAGGGCTGCAGGGAGAACAGCATCTGGAGCACAGTACCATGTAACAGGTTCCAAGACCTTAGCACAACTGCAACCATGATAGAAGTACCATTTAACCCATAAGACATGTAGACAGCCGTTGGAACACAGTCCAGGAATGGGGCTGTGAGAGGAAAACGTGGAATGTTTGTGAGCAAACTCCAAAAAAAAAAAAAAAAAAAAAAACACAAGTCAAGAGTCTTATAACTTCAGTTTCTTCAAAACATGGAATTGTTCTTTTAATGTAATTTCCTGCTCCTCCCAGGTGCAGCAGATAGGAGTGAGCTTGCTTCAGATTACACATTGCCACTTGCTATTTGTGTCTTTGCTTTTCTGTTTTTTTTGTTTTGTTTTGTTTTGTTTTTTTGAGACAGGGTTTCTCTGTGTAGGTTTGTTGCCTGTCCTAGCTCTTGTAGACCAGGCTGGCCTCAAACTCACAGAGCTCCTCCTGCCTCTGCCTCTGCCTCTTCATGAACCACCATGCCTAGGCACTTGCTAGTGTTATTCAGAATGTTTACAACCTGAGCTCATGCGTCTAAATTGTCTGATGTTCTAATATAGTTGGCTCTTGTATGAGACTTTAGTCCGCCTCATTCATCAGCTCCATTCTCCATGGTCCTACTGCCTCTGGAGCTGTGGCAGACAGTAACACCTGCTAAAGAAAAAACAAAACCTAATCCATCAAAATCCACAGTTTTGGGATTTACTGATCTTGCTGTTCAGTTTCTGTAGTTCCGCTTCCTGCTGAGTGATCTTGTTAACTGAGGTGGATCACCCCAGGATGTGGTTTTGTGCTTTAAAACTAAGCCTCAGACAGACTTAGGGCTACAGCAGAACCCAAACACCAAGTGTGGTCTCTGGCTGGCTATTAAAGACTTTCTATTGCCTGAGGCCCATGTCCAAGTAGTCTTCTCAGGTGGATACACACCACCACCATGAGTGAGAGAAGGCAGAAGGAAATGTGTTCCATGATTTCATTCATATCTGCAATTGGAAGAAAGGGAGGAAGGAGGGGGGAGAAGGGAGGGAGGGATGGAAGGAAGGAAAGAAAGAAGGAGATTAGCAATCTTTGTAGTTTAATACTTTGCAGACAACAAAGTTTACAGTGTCTGAGAAGACCTGGGTGGGACTGACTTTCATCACTTAGCTGTGAGGATGGTATTTGCAGCATGCAAAGATCTCTCAGTTTAAACATATATCTGACTTGTCCGCTTTGCCTTCTAAGCTTCATGATTAACCAACAGAAAAAGCTTGTGGCCTAAGTTGTTCCTCCTCTATTTCTTCCTCCTCATCTTTCTTTTTAGGGAGATTGCAGGTGTGTGCCTGGCTTCTGATTCTTTTTTTCTTTTTTTTTTTTTTGTTTTTTTTTTTTTGTTTTTGTTTTTTTTTGGCAGTGTTTTTTTTTGTAGCCTTGGATATGCTGGAACTCTCTCTGCAGACCAGGCTGGCCTCGAACTCACAGAGATCTGCCTGTTTCTGCCTCTCAAGTGCTGGCATNGAACTCACAGAGATCTGCCTGTTTCTGCCTCTCAAGTGCTGGCATTAACGGCGTGTGATGCCTTTACTACCCAGCTTACTTTTTTTTCTCTTCCATCTTGTTTCTTATTTTGTGTCTCTCAATCCTTCAAAAAGAAATGTGTGCTATTTTGTATGTGTTATGACAAATAAAGCTTACCTGGAGATCAGAGGGTGGAGCTAACCACGAGTTAACCACAGAAGCCTGGAGATGGTGGCTGGCGCCTTTAATCCCAGCACTCAGGAGGTGGAGATAAGAATTTATAAAATGAGGTGGAGACAGGATCTCAGCACTTTTGGATGGAAGAACAGAGCAAAGAAGGAACCAACTGGTGGTTCCCACTTCTCTGGCCTCCCCAGTTTTTACCCTGATATCTGACTCCTGTTTTTTTATTGATTAAGATTAATTAGACTTATGCTTCAAAGAAACGCCACCGTTGCTATCAATTTCATGGCGGATGTTTTCATTCACTGCTTTGCTTTCTTGAAGTCTTCAGGGAGATTTTAACTCCTCTTTCCACTGCTTCCCTGTAACAGCGTAAGCGAATGCAGACAAATTGTCAAAATATAGACAGCTTTAATGGAGGAATAGACTTACAGAACCACCGTTCCCGCGGAGACCAGGAAAGCAGAAGCGAGGGCTGGGAGCATGCTCGCCAACTTTATAGGCAAACTTTAGCCTGAGGCGAACATGCCCCCTAAGGGGTGGGACTTATCCCTACATCTCCCCTTTTTGTCTAAATAAGACAGAACTAAACCAAATACAACTATATACAATAATAACAAATAATAAATATAACAAACAATATTGAGAATCAAAAGTTTTGCTAAACATTCTATCTCAAGGAGTCTAAATAATATAGAGAGTAACTACAATTATATAATCTTCAACTCCATCAAAGATCTGAGAAGGGAATAAATATTACTTAACAAACGAGATATATCCAAAATGTGTAACAATTGACAAAGACAACTGACTACCTGGGCAATCACCCAAAGTCTCG